GTTTTATCAGTGCTCTGATTTGCATGAGGAAACGGACACAATGAGACATTTGCAACCTAGGCCATGACTGAGCGTCCACAGAACACTGAAGCCCTGAGCTCCTGCAACTGCATCCAGCTCTGCAGCCCCAGCCACCTCCCCATCCCCCGCCCCAACCCCCAGATTTAGGCAAGAGGAGCTGAAGATCAGTTTTCTGTGTCCCTGTCTGCCCTCAGAGTCGGCCACATACAGAGACCTGCTTTTCATGTGTTTACTTTGCTTCTTAGTTTTGTTCTATAAAGCAGAAGAGTTAGAAAGAAAGAAGACGGTATGGTAGGGGTAAACAATTCGAATTTTTTTAATTAAAAATATTCCTCAACCAATATATAAAAACACAAAACTAACTGCACATATTAGTAGGGTACCATGACATTGGGTAATGTTCAAATCGGGTTAAACACATCTGTCTCCTCAGACATTTATCATTGCTTTATGGTTTCTCCCAGCTCTTTGACGTGTGCAGCATATTGGGATTATCTATAGTCACCTGACTGTGCAACAGCACCCCAGAATTTATTAATCCCACCCAGCTGCAACTTAGCACCCATTGATCAACATCTTCCCATTACTTCCTCCTCCCTTCTCTCCCTAGTCTCTGCCATTAGTTTTAACTCAACCTATATTTTGTGCTCAGGAGGATTTGAGACACTATCTCCAACCTACCTTTCTAAGTCCGTTTCCTGTGGTCTCACTACAGGTGCCTGGGCTCTGGTCACTTTCCTGCTACTCAAGGAACATCTCAAATCCCATCTTCTGTAGGAAGCCATTTAGGAACATCCTCATTCAGTGGCCATGTTTCCTTCCTTTAAACCCCTTTGGCACATCTCTGGATCTGCTGCATGGAACTCCCCATTCACTTGACAGGAAACAGACCACCCAGCTTCTGGAAGGCAGATGTTGTCTTGCTTATCTTTATTCAACCAATATTTAATTTTGTGGAAATGGGAAAATGCCCGTGTCTGTGCTGCCATTTTTGTTTGGTTCCCCATCTTGGACAGGACACCAGAGTCCTAACTCTGGTCTCTTTGTATCACCCCTCTGAGCTCAGATATTTCTCTTCTTAGCTACAGGAGAATCTGGTTTCTAATCCATGAGGATGGTAAATGAATCTCGGAAATGGAGGTGACCTTGGAGACCATCAAGAGGACCTTATCCAAAATTAAAAAAAAAAAAATCATATCAATGCTTCTCAAATTTTAATGTGTATTTATGAATTTCCTAGAGATCTTGTTAACTGATTGTGATTCAGTTGATTTGGGGTAGAGCCTGAAAGTATGCATTTCTAACGAGCTGCCCAGCAGCCCTTGCTGCTGACTCTAGTTTTGTTATTCTACTTCTCTCTGAAGCTAGAACAAAAGGAAGACTACTTTGCCTGAGTGCTTAGAGATCTGGTGCATGTGTTTCTCTAGAATCTCCACAGAGCTCTGAGAGGTAACTGGTACATATGATCTTAGCTTATAGAAGAATGTCATAGAGGTCAAGGTCACATAGCAAATGGAGGAGCTAGGAGTTGACCATGTCTGACCCCCAATGACTCTCTTCTTTTTGCCATTTGTTTTTCTTTCACAATGATCTAATGAGGGAAATTTATATCCATATTTGGAGGAGAATAAGACTGAGGCTGAGGTCATGATTCTGGGCAGGAAAGACTGGAATTCTTTATTCTGCCCTATTAATAATCAGTGTAAGAGCAGAGCCCCAGAATAGCATGGTTGTGTTCTAGATGGTGATTTCCTAACAATACCAGACTTATGCCCCACTTCTAGGACCCCATGGAATTCTGGTAACTGTTGATGGAGAGGTCCATATAGACCCTTGGTACCATAAAGTTCCTATTTCTACCATTTTCCTGTGACTTGACTGAGTCCCAAAGCTAAGGGTGTTTGAGACTCTTGGCAGTGAGAAGAAAATGAGGGGAGTAAATGCCAAAGTTGGCTCCTTGGGAGAGGAGATTCCCAACTTGGATGACTGGTCAGTGCCAGGAAGAGAGATTGTACTGGCCACAAACTTGCTCCTTCAGCTAACTTGAGCCAAAGGTCAAGGCAAGAGCGAGCTCAGATCTGGCACTAAAAAAAGGATTGGGGGAAAAAAAAGAAGAACAAGAGCACAGAAATGTTAGACCTCTGGCTGGGCAAGCCAGCCTCTATGAAAACAGAACTTAATCCTCTGTCCTCTCCCAAAGAGTTTTGAAAGACAGCACCAATACTCAGAGTGAAAAGCCTCATGTGATTTCCCCCTCTTGCCTGATAGAGAGCCAGGTTGGTGGTACTGAGGAATAAGGGATGCATTGATGATCCCAAGGTCCAGAAAGTCTTGTCTCTTTTCTTATTGCTGAGGGTCATGGGAAATTTAGCTGTACCCAGGTTTCTCCTCCTAGGTTGAATATACATGCACTTTTCAAGGAAGAACTGAAACTACCCAAAGCATGGAGACTTGCAGTGCATCCTGACTTGCATCTTTTGTCCTATACTACCTTTCTTCTTACATCAGCCCAGCAGATTGTACCAGCAGACTGGTCCAGCACCTGCATGGTCCAATGGGAGTAGGTCCATAGGGAAGCATTTAACAGGGACATGCATGGGCTACGGCTCAGCATAGGGCCTGGTGCATGGAAATTTTTCTCTGTGACATATTTATTAAAGTAGTGTGAGTTGGGTAACAGCTTAGATGCCCCATGAAGACAACAGTCTCTGTGTCATTTCAACCCAAATACTCTATTAGAATGAGGAGATAAGCCAAAGAGGGATGATGCCCATTTCTTTGGTCAGCTTGTACTGACTTATGAGGTGGAAGACTGACTGCCTCAAGTGGGTCTCTGAAGATATACTGGGTGGTGCTGACTTAGAGGTGAACTTCATGGGTAGTTTGGGAAGTGGGTCCAGGATGCTATGGTTTAATTGTTGCTGAAAGTAAACTTGGGGGGAACAGAGTGCTGAGCAGGATGGAGGAGAGTCAGAGCATCCTTTCAGATTTCTGAAGGGTCATGCATATTTTTGTTAACCAAAGCCATATGGAAATAGGAGTTTTGTGGAATAGTGGCCTTTAAGCAAAATGGCTGAGCTTGCAAACAGAGGTATCCAACTTTGAAAGATCTCAAAGGTATTGCACTGGGTTTTGCTTTTGCCTTAATTCTTTTTATTTTGTTTGAACAGAAGTTATATCAGGAGATGGATCCACTGGGTGTAGGTGGAATTCACCATTCGTGCAGCTCCATCCTTGCTAACAAAGCAATCAGGCCCCATACAAGGTTGACTCAATTTTTAACAAAACATGAAACCATACTGATGCCACGTATTTTCATAAGGGCAATACTTAGGGACAGCTCTGTGTGCTGGCCAGGATCATGTGAAACACCACTGAATAAAAGCTGAGCACACCAAGTTAATGACTAGTGCTCAGTATTCCGACATTAATCAGCAGTGAACAAGCCGAGAGTACACAAGGGAGCTGTCCCACGTGCACAGACCAAACCACCAGTCGATGGCTTAGAGCTTCGGTGCCCTCAACTGTGAATGAAAGCTTCCTCCCTGCTCAGCTCCCACTCCTTCCGCCCACCCCTCCCTTATGGACAGGAAAGAATGCCCCCAGGAAGTGAAGCCTCACAGAGGCCATTCTCTGGCAAAAACAGGTCCAGCCCTCTCCCTCGCTCTCTCTCTCTCTAGCTGTACTGCAGGCCTCCCTGTTACCATGGAGATAGGACGCCTTCTGAGCTCTATGCTTTCTCTCCAGTCCAGCCTTCAAATACCTTAGTATAGTCCAACCCACTCACTCTCTTGGCTCCCCGGACTGAAAATCTCCAAGCTGGATTCCTTTAGTCGAATGACTCAGGGAACTCCTTGCCACAATCTACTGATGGTCAGAGGGTTCTGGCTCAAATCCTGAGGTGGGGGTGGCAGCCTGTGGTTCCACAGAAGCCTGTGCATCCACATCCCTCCTTTCTTTTCTAAAGGGAAGACCTGACTTCTTCCCTGTCTGAGATGAGACCATAAGAGCACCCAGTCAAATGGGATGGTGGGAGTCCTGGAATATGGCTTCAGGGGTGCAAGTAGATCAGACTAGCAGGTGGGCTGGGGAAGACATGTGGGAAGACAAGCGTGAGCCCAGACCTCCAGGAGAGTGCTGGGTGGGATGTCACAGGGCAGTGGAACCTGAAGAAGATAAAGCAGGTTCCTGAACTAAGTTCTAGTGAACTCTTCCACTGTGTTTAACCACAGTTATCCTCTGCCCTTCTCATTACCCAAAACTGCACTACCTCAGAAATCCTGCACTCTAGCATTCCCCCAATCTGGCCCCAAACCTTTCAGACTTGCATCCTCCTGCCCTTGCCCTCTAACTCCTGCTAGAAACCTTCACCCAGAATTATCATTGTATATCTGTACATTTTCCAAATGTTCAAATCAATTCCTGGCTTCATTCCCTTCTCAGGGAGTCAGTAATAAAGTAGGTACCACTGGGTCAGCCTCTGGGACTCCCCCAGCTCTGCTGCTGTCTCTGCTCGGATCTGTGGGTTTAGACTGCCACAGGGCCACCCTGAACTCCTGTGCTCGGCGAGATTCTCAAATTGCTATCAGGATTGTCGCTTTGCCAGCTTTGATCTCATCACCCACTTCGATGTCCTTATCCCTTTCTTAACATTTACTCCTCTCCCTTCTTTTCTGCCTCAGATCCCATGGAGCGTCTGGCTGGGCAGCAGGACTGGCCATATCCAGCCTCATCTCCATGGATTATCATTTAAACAGGAAAAGGGATCTGCTCAGGATCCTTCTGTGGGATCTGGAAAGGTTCTCATAGATCAGCAGCTTCTCACATTCTCTCCTTGTCTCCATCTCCCAGGTAACCTCAGGGCAGCCCCAGCACTTGCTTCATGCACGTGGACCCCCTTCTTTATTTCTTCACACAACAAGAAACTTTCTACCTCAAGCCTTTCTGTTGCCTGTGACTGGTCTCTGCAGGTCCCCGTTCAATGATCCCCTTATCTGTCCAGAGTAGCTCTCCGCCACAGCACTCCCTATAATCTTACCAGCTTTAATTCTTCTCCTTGCACTTACTGTCAAGAATTTATTTTGTCAGTATCTCCCAGTGGAATGTGAGTTCTCCATAAGGATGGATTCTATGTTGTTTACTTTTGATTATTCCTTAGCATACAGTAGACCTCTTAAATATTTATCAACTACAAAGAGTTCTATTGCTTGGACCATTTGATGTTTCAGGGTGAACCACCTACAAGGGGTAGGGATAACGGTGGGGAACCGGGCAGTTGAGAGGTCTTGGTAAGAGTTGCTGGGTTCTGTTTGAAAAATCCAGATTTGTAGCTCCACCCCATGGTTTGTAGGTATGAGAAAGCCCACCTCCAAAATGGCCCCAGTGTTTGTCAGCTCTTGATGTTCTTGTCCCTGTCCCTGTAGAGCTACCTCCCATCCTGAAGGGAGCTGGCTTGTGTAACCTGTCAGATATTATGAAATAATGGTGTGTAAACAATAGGCTTGGTCACGAAAGACATTGTGGCATGTGACTTTCTCTTTCTTGGATCACCTAGCCACTATACCACGGAAAACACTCAAGTAACCCATGGAGACGAAGGTCACAGGGAGGGAGGGAGGCAGAGGCCCCCTGCCGATGACCAGCACCATGTGAGTGACCCATCTTGGAATCACATACACTAGCTCTAGTCAAGCCTTCAGATGACGCAACCCCGCCAGACACTGTGATTGCAAATTCAGGAGAGACACCCCCCTCAATTCAGAAGCACCCACATTTCCAACCCATAGAAACTATAGGAGGTAATAAATATTTATTGTTGTTTTAAGATGCTAAGTTTTAGAGTGATCTGTTTCACAGTGATGGGTAATTATTATGAAGCAAATAACATGGGGGCTTGCAACCCCAGGTTCAAGTTGATCCGAGTGTCTCTAAGATTGTATTTCCCAGTGGTTAACCGTGCAACCCGTTTCCCTTGGTCGGTCCCGATTTAATTCTGCAACTTTTCGTAGCCAGAAATGCCACCTGTATCCTTAATAAACTTTATTTAGACACAAATAGACACAACAGAAAGTACATACACAGATACAGATTTGTTTTTCTCTATAGGATGAACAAACATCACAGAAGGATTTAAAAAGTAGATGCATGGAATGTAAGAAAATATTGCAAAGTTCCTTGTTCACTCACACTGGGAACAGACACATATTTCAGAGGAAGACAGGGATATACTCCCCCGACAACAGGATTCACATTTGGTGGATAACAGCACACAGGTGTTGGGAAGGTAATCAAGGAGTTAGGGATCCAGTTACTCTTGAGGTGACAGAATGCTCACAACACTAGTAGGAAGGTTGTTTAAACAAAAGAGAGAGTGGAGGAGGATTCCAGACCCCCTGCCCAGATGCTCTGCAAGCTGTCAGCTAGGTCTTAAAGCAGCTCACAGAACTGTAGGTGAGCTTTCATCTTGCAGCAGGAAGGTCTGCGCCACCTCTAGCTTTGGGTCCACATCATAGAGTTTTACAGAAACACACTTAGGATGCTGAAACTCTCCACATGCACGCTGGCTTAGAAACCCACAGTACAGGACATTGACATCAGGGTATATAGAATGGGACTTTCGAGTAGAAGGGGAATAACAGCCCCGAGCGGCAAACATACACTTGTCAAATGCTGCCACATCCATTGGTAGTGTTTCCCACCACGCTGTTTGTGGTCCCTTCCCACGGGGAGCCATGAGCATCTCAGTCCTGTTCCCCCGCCATGGGCAGAACAGGATGGACGTCTCTCAGAAGTCTATTGACCTCTAAAGTCACACCTGTGACCTCCTGGTCACTCCTGTCAGAAGCCACGCACGTGCCCAGGACAAGCTGCCATGGAACCACCCCACTTACTCCTTCCTGTCTTGGACCAAGCCTCTGGCCTCCATACCATCTTCCAATTTTCAGACTGGGGTTCCCTAGGCAACCTCTGTATTTTTTAGTAAAAAATGGTTTCCACTGTACCCTTCGTGTGTCCTCTTCCTAACGTGACAAATCCAGATGAGATGAAGTTATGGAGATCGGGTCCTCCACTTCGGTAAGCATCCTTCCCATAATGCCCTGCAAGAAGATGGGGCACAATTATCCGACGCATCCACCACATCAAAACAGAAGACAATGGCAGCTCCATCAACCAGCAGTGAGTGATGGTGCACTTAGGTTCAAATCAGCAGCTGAGTCAGAAGGCAGAAGGACTCAAGGAAAAATAGAATATATATACAATATATATTACTGAGAATATATTTATATATATATATATATATATATATATATATACATACACATACATATATACACATAGATACCTTTATGTGTATATATTTGTTACTGTTCAACAAAGAATAACATCATATTGAAAGCAGAGAAGGGAAAAAGGAGACGCATGAATTGATTTTGGCATTTCTAACCAAGTACAAAACACCAGAACATTCTTTAGAGATGCTCCTCAACTGACAATAGGGTTGCCTCTTGATAAACCCAGGGCAAGTTGAAACGTCCCATGATGAAAATTCGTTTGCTATGTCTACCCGACTGAACGCGTAGCTCAGCCACACAGCAGATTGAGGATCTGCTCTTTCCCCTTGTGACTGATCCCATGGCTGACCAGGGGGCTGTGGCTCACTCCCAATGCCTAGCATCACAACATATTGCTAGCCCAGGAAAATAAATCAAAATTCAAAGCGCAAAGTGTGGTTGCTACTGAATGTGCGTTACTTTTGTACCATTATAGTGAAAAAAAAAATGCCCACTAGACTACCCTAGGTCAAGGACATCCTGTTCCTGTCCCACCTTCCTTCTTTCTCTTTCTTGCCTTGTACATTTATTTTCTTTCTTTCAAAGCATGCAGGAGTGGGCCTGATGGGGACCGCTCTGTTTGTGAATGTTTATGAATCATATACAACCTATGGGATTATAGGCTGGTAACTTAAGAAAAATCTAACAGCAGCTGAAGCTGGCAAGTCGAATGGAGGTTATAAAACACTGGGAAAATATTTATGTGTTTTCCTTTCTTTAATTTCTGCAATAAGACTGTATCTTCCATCAGCCAGATGAAGACGTCTTACCTATAGGATGGGGGTAGGAGAAAGGCCAAGGGCAGGGGAATCACCGTGGGAGAACAAATTCAGAGTAGGAAGTTAATATTTTATTTCTGGACACTCAAAGTAGGGTTTTATAATATTCTTGAAATATAGGCATTGTAAAGAAAGAAAGAACTCTCTAACTGCCATCCTGAAGTAGGTACATGCAAAAATGGAGAAAAAGTCTTTTTTCTTTTCACATTACCAAAATCATGTATGAAAAATTCTAATTATAATAATGTGTGGAACCACTTAAGATATAAAGTTTAAAAGTGGATAGAAAATGGGATTTTAAATGTGATAACAGTGCTGTGAAAATTCAAGCCAGTTGCACACACACACAAAAAAAATTGAAAAGATTGAAAGAAAACTCACAAAGATATTGTCAGCTGCCTTTGGATAGTTAGAACATGAGTGTTAATTTATTTCTCCTTTCAACTTGCCTATATTTTCCAAGTTTTTCCTAGAATGAATATGAAATTTTTATAATCTAAATAGGCAAAGTAAATGTCCAACAGAAAAATTCTTGATAAGTGCAAACACAAAACAAATCAATTTTTCTTAGCCAGGATCTTTTCTAGATCAGTAGATCTCAACCAAGGGTGCATATTGGAATTATTTGGAAGCTCTCAAAAATATAGATACCCAGACCAACTCCCAGGGAGTCTAATTCAATGGTGGGGAGTGAAGGCTTAGACAGGGGTATTTTTGACTCATGGGTTTCCAACTCCTCACTGTAGGCAATGAGAACCACTGCCCTAGTGTAAGTGGAGAAACAACCTAAATTGAGTTTATTTGGGTGGGTTAACTGGGACCACTATAGCTACACCATCCACTATTGATGTGCACAACTCTGAAGCTCTTCCTCTGGAGGGTAGAGTCTGGCCCAACTCCTCCCTTCTTATTCCAGATCTCAAACCTAAGCTCACATCAGAATAAACAGGAAAGCTTAAAACAGATCATGGGGGCCTGATTCGGAAGATGTGGATTAGAGCTGATGAGTTTGCATGTCTATCAAGGTCCCTGCTAATGCCAGTGTTGCTGGTCCAGGAATCACACGCTGACATCGCTTGTCCTGCAGCATGAGTATCATGAGCATTTTACCACTGGTTCCCTGGACTTTGAAATAAATTACCTCATTCCTCAGGACATGCAGCTTTTCACAAAGAACATTCTTACTGTAAATCTCTGTGGTCACAGCATATAGTTTCATAGAGTTGTCAGAACTGAGATAAAGACTTCTACCCCAAACCATGTCATGTGACAGCTCTAGGCATGACTCCTGTACCCAGAGAAATGCATCTGCCCTAGAGGTCAAGGGATGTGTGGAAGATGTGCTCCCAACCTCAGGGAGTACAGGGACCCTGCTTGTGTAACACTCTCTCCCCACCTCACCAATAACAGCAAGAAACAGAAGGAACAACTCTGGACTTTCATAAATTATGTTTTTATTTGTTTGGGGTTTTGTTTTTTGCAATGCTGTGGATGGAACCCAGGGCCTTACACATGCTGGGCAAGTACTCTACCACTGAGCTATATCCCCAGCCCAAAACTCTCATAAATTTGGACCTCATTAATTCACAACCTGTGATACATCCTGCAGAATTGGGGCTGGTTTATTTTTGTGCTTCTTATAAATAAAATTTTTGATAAACAAATCAATACCAAGGAAGATGGAACATAAAACAGGGACTGTGCTATTTACAAATCATTCTTGTCTGTCAACTGGAACAAGGTCCCTCAGGACTAAGCATCGCTCTAATGCTTTGGGGCTCTGTTTATTTGAAAAGGAACTGAATTTTCCGGATCATCTACTTGTTGGCCAGGCAGAAGGATGGAGCTCTTGATAGTACAGCTTCTAAAATATATAATAATTTAGCAAATGTTTTATAGTATTTCGAGGATTACAAAGATCTTTTCCATACACTATGAATATTTCCATCAATACCGCCTGGTAGGTGGTTTATTATTATTTCCCATTTAATGGATGGGGAAATTGAGACCAAAGAGCTGAACTTGGTAGATGATTGAGCAAGCACTCATACCCAAGTTCTCTGACTCCCAATACCATGTTCATTCTATTGTGCACACCCAGCTTTGTTTATGTGTCACCAGAACCCTGGGAAAAATGGGAGCCAGTCAGTGGTAGATCCTGGATCTCTTCCAAGACTTAACTACCTTCCAAGTCCACAGTCTTTCTACAACCTCACCCCTACGGCCTGACCAGTGTTTCTTCTCTAAGACTGTAGTTAGGACATGTAGTGGAGATGTGAGTTCAGAAGAATTCCATTTGGTAGCACCCAAGTCCATAGAAGTGAAAACTCAGAGGTTTTGAGCTTTGAGTCTGGAAGTTTTGAGGAGAGAGAGAGAGAGAGGGGGGAGGGGGAAGGAAGGAGGAAGGAAGGAAGGAAGGAAGGAAGGAAGGAAGGAAAGAAGTAGGTAGGGAGGGAGGGACAAAAGAAAAGAAAGAGAAATAGATACTGAGGTATAGAGGCAGGACCCAGGACACTGGGGCAGGAATAGAGAAATGTATGGTTAAATTGGTTTAAAAATATCCAGTTAAACAAAATGAAAAGCTACCTGAAAACCAAGTCTAAGAATTTTTCAAAGGCCATGAGCACTGAACTCTCTCTGGAGCCCTTCTTTTCTTTGCCAACTGCATCTCTTGGGACACTTTTTGAGAAAGCTGCCCTTGAGGTTGAGGTGGAAAATGTAGAGTGACAGCTTGACAATTTGAGCACTGGCACTCAAACTGGAGCATGCACTAGACCCCCTTGGATGAGACCTAGATTGCTCTGCTCAAGCCCCAGAATTCCCAGTCTACTGGGTTGGAGCATTTCTAACAAGTTCTCAAGTGATGCAGATGATGCCCATTTGGTACCAGGACCGTGTTTCATGAACCACTATATTAGGGCTAGTGACAGGTACGTTTTTTCGGCGGGACCCATGGACAAGGTCAACAATGATTTATTTACATGCTCTGTACCTCCCATGAACCAGGGAATTATGAAATAAAGGGGATTTAGTAAAAAGTGAAGCTCCATGCAGGTGGATAATCAAAAGAGAGAGGAGTCAATGTCATCTTTGTTTCTTGGTGATGCGTGGAGTTGATGGGTTGGTATAAATGGCATGAATGGGTGTCACAGAATTCATTAGCTGTACCACAAAGAGCTACTCCCTTCTCTGTCCTGTAGCAACAATCCTGGGTCTCGGCCCAACTGCCAACTCTCAGGGCCAGAGGACAAAGGAGTACAGACTTTGATCAAATTGCAATTACACAGAAACAACCATATATCCAACAGAGCTCTAAGCAAAAGGAAGAAAGAGCATTGTGAAGCATCCCGGTAAAGTGGTGTGAGCACTTCCTGTATCACAGTAGAGACAAATACAGACTCCATGCCAGAAACAAGGGTGGTTTCGGGCTTCAGAGCATGACTGCTACCACCTGCTGAACCCAACTGTGCAAAGCAGCATCTAATGATGTTTCTATCTCCAGTTCTGCCACTGCACCCTGACCTTCACATTGATAGCCCTTCCCAAAGCCAGATAGGTTTTATTCTAGCTCACTTACTGCCCAAACTTCCTTGACCTCCCATCAGAATTCCATACCCTTCCTAAGTCTCAAGCAGAAGCCAGAAGTCAGAAGGACAAGAGACAACTGACCTCAGGCAGGAGGCAGATTAAAGCCAAGAGAAGTCCAAGGCTGAGCTCCTGGAGTGGTGCAGTGCTGCTGGCTCTGATAAGGAAGCGACCAGAGGGAAAAATTTCTCTGTACAGGAGATTTAATGCAAGCCATGGGAGGGGGGAAAATGAGATACGATCTAAATGATGCTCTCTGTGAGATTCAACAGGGTTGTGCATCTGTGAAATTAGATCAACAACCATGAGAGGGAAACAAACCAATCAGGACTGTTTGCCTGGATTTGCAGATCCAGACAACAGAATGGATGCAGAAGGAAACTGGTGATGTAGCATCTAATG